CTCTTATTTTTCTGTTATGTAGTTAATAAGACATGTCATTTATATAGGCACCTTTTGCAGCAGAATCCTGTAATTCTCCCAGTAAACATTTAAATTTTGCTCCATTGGAAGGAAACAGTTTTATGATTTTTAAGTAAGGCTTAAGGATGGCATTGTTACCATATTCTAAATGTTGCCTTTTTCTCCATTAAAATTCTATAAAATGCTACTGAAAATCTATGACCTCTGTTTTTTTTTTTTTTTATGTATTTGGTCCAGGGTCTCCCTACGCAGCTGGGCTATCACCTACCTTATGTTACCCATGCTCTCTCTCAACACCTCCTTCGGGCATTTGCCATTCCTGTGTGTCAAATGATCTCAAGTTTTATGTTAGTACTTTTCTGCCCATTTCTCATAGATTACCCACGACGTTAAGTGATTCAAGAGCCACTACCACCTATTTTATTATTTGGAAGATGCCTAAAAATGCTGCTACTTGCATCATAATCATTTAAATGAATACTCAAAACTGGTTTGAATGAAAAAGCTACATATCAGTACTTGACATTTATGGTGTCACCTTTCCGGGTTCTCCTCATCCTTTCCGTGGCATCTGCCAAGCTTGTTTTATTCACTTTTTCACATTGTTAATGTTCTTTTTGTCTTTGTGTTAAGATGAAAATACCAGGTCTACCTACAGCCAACCACAATAACTCGCAGAGAAGTCAGCACTCGTTCCTTCTAAGTGCTGGGTATCCCAGGGACTTAAGATATTAGAGCATAAATAAATAAATATTTCAAAGCCCTTAGTCTTCTCACTAGGTAGCAAAACAATTCAACATATTGCATAAATTATTTTACAAATTACATAGTTAAGTGGAGAAGAGCGGTTTTCCGGTAAGTTACTTGGAAACTGACTTAAAATCCTATACGTGGAGTGTTTTATTGTTTATTTTTAACAAAATAACGTGGTTTTCAACTGTTCCTCCTTTAGCATTGCTCCCCCTGCTGGTTCATTTGAGGAAGTGCAACAGTTATTGGCCCTTGAAGCCACTGAAGTGACAATTTTAGGAACTTTACTTTTTAATTATTTCAGAAGCATAGATTTACAAAGGCTGCCACGCGATCTTACCCTAAAATTCTAGAACGATGACCATATAGTTTCACATCTTTGAGAAATGATGAAACAAAGTTCACAACAGTGACAACTGATACCCGTTAGTTGATATCCCTTAATCAGCTTAACATGCGATGTCTCTGCACCCCAGGGGGCTTCCATCCTGAGAATGCTGGAAGACTGGATGACGCCAGAGCTATTTAAAAGAGGATGTCAGGTACGATGTATCACTTTCAGTGATATTAAAAGTAAACTGCACAGATAGGTGGCTAATGAATGCGAAGGGGTAGGATTATTAAGACCAGTTCCTTCTTTACCTTCCTGTTTTAGGGCCAAATAACATAGCAACAGATAAAAAGCAATATCCACGCCCAAGTCTCACGGGAAAGTTTAAACAGAGCAGTTGCTTTGGTTACCTGCCGCATGTGCGAGCGCTTGGGCTCCCAGAACAAGTTGTGTGTAGTGGCTTAGACAACAGAGCGGTGTTTTCTCACCGTTGGGAAGACGGAGGTGCCCAAGACTGAAACGCCAGCCAGTTGGGTCCCTGCTCCGGGCTCTCTTGCTGCCCCCTCCTCGGGTCACCAGCCCGCTGCCTGGGCCCGCAGGGAAGTGCGGGGGCGGGGCTCTGAGGGCTTTCCGGAGAACCCCAGTCTTATTATTGAGGTCTCATCCCTCCTACGTCATCTAGACTGGGATACCTTCCCAGAGCCCCATTAGGAACACAGTTCACCCGGAACCACAAGATGTAAAATTTAAGTATTTCCAAGTGACTATTTCCTTACTGTAAGTATACAACCTTAGCCTTCTTGTTGGCCGGGAATGTATCAACTAGCACCTGAAGAAAGCATGTGGTCCGTGTAAGCGACCTCACCAAGCTCTCGGACCAGCTAGGGTATTCCCGCACGTGTTTGGCTGCTGCACGCCGTGCCCTCCTGCACACACGGCGCCCTCCTGCACACACCGTGCCCTCCTGCACACACCGTGCCCTCCTGCACACACCGTGCCCTCCTGCACACACGGCGCCCTCCTGCACACACGGCACCCTCCTGCACACACCGTGCCCTCCTGCACACACCGTGCCTTCCTGCACACACAGCGCCTTCCTGCACACACGGCGCCCTCCTGCACACACGGC